ATACCAATAAACATGACTTTATTGATGCATATAGGTATTATTTAAAATTCTTACCTATCTTAGCATACTATGATGCATAAATACTATTACCAAATCCCTCGCAGTACGTCAGTTATAATGGTTGAATGAGTGTTTTGTCTTACCTGAAAAAAAAATTCAGTTTTTATTGCCACAGTTTTTCCAGTTAAAAACAATTATAAGAACAATACTGCTCCGGTGTAAGGTTTATTATTATGTATCTATATGGTGTTGGATGCACGGTATGAACCAACAACACATTTCGTCTGGTATATCTAGGTATTTTGTATTTTTAGTAGAACATAATAAGTGGCTATTAAAATAGTGTATTTCCAATATCACTCTTTACCTTAATCATCTACCACTAGAGTCTCCGTAACACTGATTATTATGTTGTATATAATATTATATTAATATGCGCATCAATAATTTATTTATTAAGTATAAAGTTATATCAAACTAAATTCATATCAATAATACTATACGTATTATTTCACTAGCACATTGAGCGTGCAATTTAAAATTTACTAAAAACAAAAATACATTATTTAATCTCCGAAAAAAAAAAAAATTGTTAAATTGTTTGTAAGTAATGTCCTAATATTGTAAAATATTATTATATTTCCTTATCTACATCCATTCACTGAAATAAATTAAGACATTTTATTGAATATTTTAGTTTTTTGTGCGGTAACCAATAAATTACTGTCAATATTTAATATAAGTTAAACAATTAACAACTTATAAAAATGTTTATCACATTTACCAAACTTTTGAAATTTGAGAAAACTTTTCAACCAACATAAGTATTTTAAAGTTTTACCGTTTCGAAAAATTCTGTTATTTCGAATTAAGTGCACGTAAAATTACGTCTTACTCTATAATTAACTTTAATAAGAAAAATTTCATTAAATTATATCAGTTTGTTGATAGTTTTCAGAATTATACTCAGTCATTAATTTTATAATAGTTTTTAGTAACTGAAAATGTGACGATATAAATGTCAAAACATCAAAATATAGCAACTTGGAGTTGCTGGTATTATTAATGCGAATTTTTATGGTAATAATATTCCTAGCAAACATTTAAAACATTGTAATAATTTTAGACAGTCACCCATAAAACATGATTTGTGTTAGATTTCATAAACATAAATAAATTGAGTTGTTTAATACTATTATATATTACTTTATGAAAATAAATAAATCATTGGAAAATATTCGGAATATTCTAAAGAGTAAAACAATTTAAAAATTTCAAATATACAAATATAATTTAATATTCACAATTAATTTATTGTTTGTTGAAATCAGTGTTACTATTTGTAATTTTAAATAATTAAAAAAAAAAACTGTATTAATAATGAGTTATATTATCTTTTGGTTATTTTATCGATTGGGTATTTAATCATTAATCCATTAATAATAATTATGTATATTCAACTATAACTAATATGTATTAAAAATAAATATATATTCAATCGTATTATGTTACATTCAGTGTGTGATTTTTAACGGAGTTTCTTAACGCAGGTATGTTTATTCTGTTAATAAAAAATACTTTATTATTTTCAGATAGAGCACGAAAATATCAGAAATAACGAAAATTAAAAACAAACCGATATTACAAAATACAATATTGATTAAAGGCAAGTTACTAAGTGTTTGTTTTTACAAATTTATTTTATTTTTCTGTAAACACGCATAATATTTCAAAGCGTATTAACATTTTTGTGTTTTTTGCTTTACGTTATTTAAGTAATTACCTAGATATTAAAATTGTATAATATTCAATTGTATTAATTGTATTGTTCTATATTTTATCATAATCGTTATAAGATATATTAGAGTGATAACATATAAAAATAACTGTATGTATTTAATAGAATAATTTTTCTTTTAGGATTATTTAGTAAAAAAAAATTATTTTGAACCAAAAGTTTATCAGTTAAGAAAGTATTTGAAGTTTTTTTAAAGTAGGGTCAATACTCAATAGCGTACTCAAGAAGTACAGTTATTATATCTTATTTTGCTAATAATTATTATTGTATTAATTGTATACAGACTGTAAAATATATTCTCTTTCTTAGTAAATAAAATAAAAAGTATTCAAAGTTTTTCTGAGAGGAGTGTAGCGGAACACTATTTTTCACATCTAAACTTTAAATAATTTTAAATAATTAACTGCGAGTTTGAAATTCAATTTCTATACATCAAAGTTTTCAAATAAATGTTCCTACCTGGAATGCGAAATTTGAAATATTTAATTAAACAAAATATTAATAAGGATTACATATATAAGATAATATTTACTTTTAAATCGCACAGTCCATAGTTTTTAATAAATGTAACCTTATTTATAAATAATGCTAATAACGTTTTGTTACTTGTAACATGTCTAAAAAAAAAGCAACCTCCCTAAAAATGTAATTTCAGTATTGTGAGAAAATCAATCTTTTTCATTTGAATAGAAAATCTTAGAGGTAGAATAACGGTATGAATATAGATCGGTGAATAATATTACTTTAATACCGATAAACATAAAAATATTTATAAACGCTTTGTCGTACAACAATGAACAAACATATTAATATATAGGTTCTCGTATACCTATCATGTTTCATACAATAAGTGTACAAGAATTTTTAATTTGTTTTTGTTCAGATTTCATACCCACTATTGGGAACAGTTTTCAGTGTCTTTTTTACACGTTTCAATAGACAATTTTTGTATGACGGCGTCATGGGTAGACAATTTAGGTACATACATTTTGTTCGGTGAGTGAAACATCGATGGAAGTAAATTGAAAGCAGCTCAACTCACGGCGGTACCCAACACACAAAAATAAATAAAAATAAAAATGGTTGACGAAAAACATTTTTAACCGATTTGTTCAAATCTATCAAACATTTCGATACGATCAACATAACGATCTCAATCGTGCTACGAAGCATTCGAAATTGTGACGTTTGGGAATTAGTGGTTCAATTTCATGTGTTATCATATTATGAGAATTAATTTAATGCATTTGATAATTCTATAATCATCAAGCCTCAAAAACAAAAAAAAAATTTCACGTGATAACTGTATTTCGACCAAACTTCGGTGATGAATGTATTTCTACCACCCACCCATTCTTTTACCGGATGCAACTGCACCACCCAACAACGCCAACCAAACCAGAAAAAAAAAAATTACTCTGCACCATAAATTATTGTTACTACAGTACCTATGATAATTCAGAATATAAACAAAAACGACCATATAATATAACTACAATTATTTATTTTCAATAACTAATTATTACAGATTGAGATAACAATTTATTATTGAGGCATGTTTATTTGAGAAATTCTGTCATAACTCTTTGTAACAACATTATAATGATAATAAGACTGTTGATATCACTGATTGAGTAACCAAAACCAATATTAAAACGTGTCCAAATGACGCAATATAATATAACAGCAGATGGGTAGTATATTTTAGCCTTACTAATAACTAATCTTTTTTAATTGTAAATTATATTAATGTCAAAATATATTAATATTAAATTTTCGACACTTGATTAGTTTAAATCGTTGAAGTGTGCATCCCAGCAACCTGCATCCAAATCGAATATCGACAACTTATCGATGTTTACCAATGCTGTAATATCGTTCCGGAAAGATGTGAAACATCCAAATGTAAGGTATGACCTTATTAATCCTCGTCGACCTCGTTAATCGTTATTCTGTGTTTGAATATACAATTTTTACCAAATTTGAACTTCAAATGAATATAAAAAAAATCATGCATAAATAGTTTTTTAGATTTTATGTTTAAGTATGAACTACTTATGAGTAACGTTGTATTTCCAAGCCCAAGGTATAAGAAAATAATTGAAAATTTCATAAGTTTTTTACTTAAAAATAATTGGCACATGTTCGTGATTTTGACAAATAATTTTGACTTCAATCGCTCATACAAAAAATCGTGCTTTGTAGGTATTTTAAATATTTTAAATTACTATAAAAAACTTATGTGAGGTCTTGCGAATTACATTTTTAAACATTTTTACCGAGCCAATATTCTTTTATCGACATAATATTTAAAATTTCGAATGTCTATAAATAGCTCAAAAATATTACCATGAAAATTATTCCATGTATGAAATATGCTAATATATGATAATTTGATGAACATTGTAAGTGTCGGAGGTTATTGGTTGAATAACAACAAAATAAGAATATTGATTTTGCAGAAACCTAGTTTTGCTTAGAAATTCGAGTTTTTCCATTCTTCTTTCCAATTATTAAGAAAACTCCGGGGTATTTTTTTACCTCTGATCTTACAAAATACCAACTACATCCAGTTTTCTTCCATAAACCACCCTCAATGTTAAAAATCTAAGCATTTTTACTGCTACAAAAGGTGACTAAAGACACAAAAAATAAAGATACACATTGTAAAATTAATATCTAAATCATCGCGATGCCCTGTGTTTAAAATGTTATACCTATAGTATAAAATGTACGAACAAATTATGTATTGAGGTAGGTGAAGAGATATATTTTTTTTAAATGTTGATTTTATTCGACATACTTTTCAATTCGGAAAGACCTTGTAAGTACGTCCGTACCGACTGAAGTCTTAAACCGTTCATATTATGTTTAAATTCACGACTAATAAAACGTTGAGATGTCATTTTTTTACATCTATATCTATGTTGGAGAAGGCGAGACTAAAACAATGAATAGTATGTATCATGAAATTCAAAGTGCTGTCTCAAGTTTGCCAAAGTTTTCGTGTTATTGAAGTTTGAGGTATCTATACTGTTATGACAACAATTTGTAAAGATAACATCGTCGAAGAATTCACCGAGAGAAGAGCTGCAAACATGTAATCGTAACAACAATAATAATAACAACAATAACGATCGCGATGATGAAAGTCGTGACGTATAGGTCCATTAGTTCCGCTGAAGAAATCTAAACAGACGTGTCATCTCGTGGAGGCGGCGGCGGGTCGCGGGCACCGGGTCCCAGAACTGTCGGCAGGGCGGCGGCGGGGTTTCCGGTCGGCGGGTCCCGTCGCGCACGGCGTCAACCGTACCGGTGCCGTGCATGTGATCTGCAACGCGTCCGGATAGTCTTCCCGGAAGTGGTATCCGTCTTCTGAGTCGGCGCCCTCGACCGGTACCGGATGTGCCCGACATCGCGGCTGCAGCGCTCCCATCAGAGCCGTCACGAACACTATAAAAAAGCAAACCCCTCCAAAGTATCGCATCGTATGGGTACCTACAACGAGAGATCGACGTTTAGCCAATGGAAGTTTGCTGGTGAGGAGGATTTTTGGTGCACGGACGAGTGCTACAACTGACGATCAAACCGTCGCCATCGTGACCGTGTAGATATCGAGTAAAACAATATACAATATGATTGTGATAATATAATATGGCTCGTCGCCATAGTGTTTGAAACCCGAACGAGGTGAAGACACAAACAGAAACCTATTTCTGCGCCTTACACACTAAACGAAATATCGATTCGAAATTAATACCTTTCTGCGGTATGATACTGAACTTGCGCGATGGCTTAAATGTAAATCTAACTACAAAATAAATTGCACCGACGACTCCGATTTCATTTCAATGGACCACAAAAACCGTTAATTCTAGAGACAAGAAGACATAATATTGTATAATGTCATATAGATTTAAAGCTCGATACGGTCACAGATAAGATAGAGATATTATAATACTTAGATAGCACTACAAGTTTAGTTAAAAACGAGGAATTCAACTTTTTTTTTTTTTTAAGTTACGACGAATTAAAAAGTAAAAAACAATTTTGGAATGAAATTTGAAAATATATTTCTTATCTAAACGCATAGGTCATATTATGTGAAATATACCTTAGAAAATGAGTTGGTAATCTCAAATGTGATTGTTACCCCTCAGATTGAGAAAATAACAAATTGAAAACACGAACCATTTTGTAAATCACTTTATGCTTAAAATGTATTCCTTTTACATTTAAAAAAACAAGGCATGGAAAGTTTCGAGAAGTTTACCCTATTTGTTTTCTGAATATTCAATTTTGTTTTACTATAATATTGATAAACAGAATGTAGAAAATGAATATTTCTGTTACGTTTTCAATTCTATATAGATAGCAGAAACAATTGAAAAATTCAAATCATAATAATATTGTTGGTCAAGTTTTCGCTTCAGGCTTGCAACAAATAAAACTAAAAAAGACCTAAAATACTTACTCGGTTATGCTTTCAATGGGTATTATACGTCTTGTAATGTTGTAATTTCATAAAATAATATTTTTATTTTTATTCATATAACAAAAACTACCTACCTACTGAATGATAAATACTGATTACATATTTATTGGTAAGATTTTGATTTGACTATTAATGTATTATCGATACATTTATCCAAACCAATTTAAAGTATAATATTTGTATTAAACCATAATTATATTTAATTAACATCAATTGTTTTCCGCTTTTTACCCAGGTACTTTAGTTGCATTCGATTTATTTATATAATTTTAAGAAAAATCAGTTGTATTGAAATGTGTTTCTTGAATATTTTTAATTTTATCTGATATTTTATTGTATACTGTTTTTACATTTTAACATATTATTATTACAAACTTCACGATGTTTCCGAAAACACAATTAAATAATGTATAACTTATAAATAATTTAAGTATAAATAACATTTCAATTTATGTGCAAAAAAAAAAATTAGTTTTAAATAAAATGTAACAATGAAACGTAATTTATCATCCAAAAGACTTGTTGTTACATTTCCATTATTGTATTTCATATATTATTAGATTTTCGAATAATTTATATGCGAGACTAGGTTTTGATTTTATGTATTTGTTATTTATTCAATAATATATTACTTTCCTTCATAAATAATTAATTATGCACCCTTTATTTGAAAATATTCTTAAGGTAGTTGTAAATAAAATGCCTAGTATAATATTATTAAATCACCGTTTTATTTAAATCAAGGTGTAATAATTTAAATTTGTTAGTAATGCTAAATTTTAAAAATAGTGAGGAACGTATTGATAATTAAGAATATTGTTTTATTGTGAAACATATATTATAAAATAGCGGTATATAAAAACTAAAAAATTATTGTTTATTGAGCTTAATTACAACAATAATATTTTGAATAAATACATTTTTACTTTAAAACGTGGCTTAAATTATATAAAGTTGGAAAATAATGTAATCCAGTTGAATATTTATTTAATCTCCATTTATAATTAAAGAAGTAGGTATGTAGTAAATTAATCTAATGTCGTTAGTTTTTTTCAAATATTATTTTCAGAGGAATTTACTAAACTATCGGTAGAACAATATCTAAAGTTTTTTAGTATAAATTGTTTATGGCTATGTAAATGTATCAAAAACTTTGTAGAACAATATGGAATTATGTAACATAGTAAATATTTTAATTCTGCATACATATTACCTACATAGACGCACTTAGTAGTTAGTGGTGATTTTGTATCATAAACGTAACACGCTACTCGTTATTTTCCACTTCTAAGAATTAATATGAATCATAAATATGTATTGATATGTAATCCCATTAGTTGTATTATATATAGGTACTTAATAGGAATGATTAGGCAATTTTTACATTTCATTAGGTTCTATGGTGATAGAAAATGAGTAAGAAAAAATCGGTTACAAAAAAAAAAATAGGTTAGAAAAATAAAATATCTCTTCCCGGCTAAAAAAACTTATTGAAAGGGCTAATTTTTAATTTTAAATAATATCTGATTATATTTATTTTTAGTTTTCAAAGTAATTTTAAAAACATTTAATTAAAAATGTAAAATATTCTTTAATCTCTATAATATTGATATTTTCGTTGAATTAAAAAAAAAATCAAAGGTTAGTAAAAAAAACTTAAAGTTTCTGTTTAGTTATTTTTAATCTGTATAAGTTATTTTATTATTGTTAGTTCATTTGAACAAAATTAAATTAAAATCACGACTATGAATATAAGTTATTAAATATCCTAAAGTTATTTCATAAGCTGATGACCATGATTGTGTTCAATGTCTACAGAGATTCAGAAATCATTAACACATTTACCCACATTGACGACATAACAATAACACCGAGGGATTGGAGTGAAATTATGACAAGTTTAAAGGTATGAATTTGAATCATTGGAGCAGACCAAAGCTAGATTACTAGAGCTTCAAATATTAAAGTACGTCATACAACTAGGACGAAAATCTGAAGTAATAATATCATCGTTCCCACAACCACGTGACGAACACAAAGTTCAACGCTTACTTAGTATAGCCGGGCACGTTTGTAGTTATAATCCAGTAAATACAAAAAATTCTTCTTGACAGCAGATCAAATTACTAATTAAATTTAAATTATCATATCAACGAGCCAATGGCGTCCGAGTCACTGAAGACATGGCTGTGTAATGAACCGGAAGTGCGCATTGAGGAAGGAGGTACTATTCAGGTTCCAGTGACGTAAATTCACGTGGACGCCAGTTCCGATTCACTTTTGGGCATACTTTTAAAGAGATTAATAATACAAGCACCAATCTCCACGTATAATTTATGTCATCAGTAAAATTATTACCATTTCTGAAACGAGTGACATTCAAATTGAAGTAGAAAGTGTGTGAACGACAACCAAACCTCCGCCTAATATCTTGTGTGTTCTTACAAGGATCTTAATTACAAAATCATAGGGGGGAACTCGAGAAGAGTGGATAGATAAAGTAGAATAGCAAGCCGAGGTAAGTTACACTAGTATTTGGTCACAACAGATAAAGAAAAACGAATGACATCGCAATTGTACATTGGCGAAATGGTTATTATTGCCAGTCAGCCAGCGATTGGAAAACGGCCAAAGAAATCGACTTCAAGTCATTGAAAAGCCGGCTGAAATCATAAGAGATCTTGTAGGAAGATGATAACAATCATAATGAAGACTATGTCAACAATCCCTTTTTACACAATGAGTCGTCGTGTACTCACGGACAAGTACATCCTAGTACAGATAGCGATTCTACTGACAGGTCTGCGAGAGCGAGGAAAGTCTCACGGCTGTGAATGATTTTTTCTAATTTATTTTTCTATATTTTCTATTTTTGAAATGCTTTTGATACTGTAAATAGTACGATACACGGTTATGTCATGTAGAAAACTTTCGGACGTACCAGGATATGTCACTAATGTTAGAATAAGTTAGATATAAGTAGGTGGCAATTTATACTGCTTCGCTTCACTGGCCAATGACCAAACCAGACGTGTGTCCTCATGATTCACGGATACTGGACCTTGGGCACAACGATCCACTCATCCGTTGCAATTTCCGTCGATAAAGTAAATGATTTGATTCTATTATAAAGAATTTGTTGTCATATTCAAGAAATTTTCCACTATATAAATTGCATCGTCTTAGAGGGAAAACTATATTACTAGGGCGTTTACTGTAATTGCAGTTATTGTTGTTATCATTTTATTTTTAAGTTTATAAAGCTCATCAAAGACAATAATTTCTATTCGTAGAACAATGTCATTCATATATTTTAAAATATTTAAAGTGCAATGTTCTTTTTTTTAGTGGAGTCTAGTAATTAAAACGTAATTTTGATATAATAATAGTATATGCAATGTTTATTATAATATATACATAATAATATCATTGTAAGTATATCGTGTACAGTTATACAAAATTCATATCCACAGTTATTGGTCTGTATACTATAATGGCGGATAGAAGTACTGCATTTTAATCTCTTATCACCTATTAGGCACTATAATATTTACCATTACGGTAGGAAATATTGCGTGTTTTCTAATGATCGGATTAAACATGATGATGAACTGACGACTGTAATTTATACATATGCCAACAAAGAATAATTGTAATCACTATGTCATAACTGCCAAGTGTAGAAACGCTAATGAGCCACATTCGTAAAACCCAAAATGCGCGTGCACCATGTGAAATGAGCGTTGCAAATAAAGTAATCCCGCCTCTGGTAACCGTGGTAAAAATGGCCGTCATGTCGGTAATTAGCCGGCGAACGAGTCTTCTGAGCATCGCTAATGGAAATCTGGCATGCGGAGACATTGTCGATTGAATCTGGGTTTTCTGTACGACGTGTAAACTGATGGATATTTAATGTTTTTTCAGTTATTCCGATATGAGTAGCGCCGCAAGAGTAGGCACCTGCTAGATCGTAACAATAATAAAATGTTGAGAAATGGGCACTGTAATATTATTAAGTGCTCGTCATAATATTCTGTCCTAGTACAGACGACCCTACGAACGGGTTTTTCTCTGGTCATATAGCTCCCTGAGAGTTATCGTATCTGTTCTGATTGATATTTTACACAGGCGATACGACGGTGAGACTCTTTCTGATTTTTCCGCTTCTGAGCTGTTATCGTAATGAACGCGATGTTGGCAATTAGCTTGTAT